CTCAACTGGGGAGGAAACCCTCATTATCCTGAGAAAATATGAAAACTCAAGTTACTTTCTCCAACAAGCACTCAATGAACACACATATATGTGAATGTATACAGTGTGTTTGTGTGTGTATATATATACTGTACATACATACATACAATGTGTGTTCAGTGAATGCTGTGTGTGTGTGTGTGTGTGTATACTTTTAACTTTTAATATACTTTTGACTACAGTAAAAAAACCCTGCTGACATATTGACAAACTTTTATCGCAGCGGAACGACAATAAACACATCGTGACATCAATTTACAAACCATTACATAATGATTATACGTGCCTTAACTGTAATCGCATATTAGTAATATGGAGAGCACGAAAACAACAGATAACAACATAATTAGCTGTAAGATTAGCTTTCTTACATTCCCCTTGACACGCTGATATTTACGTTCCGACAGGAAAACCCTGCTGGGACTTTAGTTCCGCCTCTCAGTGTGATGCTGGAGGAATAATAACAATAATAATATAAATAATAATAATAATAATAACTTTAAATTGTATATTACTTGGAAATATGAGAATACATTTTGGACTACGTAGAAAAAAGTAAGGTAAAACATGTATTTAATTATTTAAACGAGATATTAACAAATGTAAATGACTCAGGGCCTAACTAAAATATCACGGATTTTATAATAATAAAACAAAACAAAATAAAATAAATCATTATCATACTTTACCGTCGTCATATTTATATTCTATCATGATAACTGTTAAAATACTATATTACTACAAGTATAGTTACTACTGGAAAATTAACTTTCATTTGTGTAATTTCCACTTTTGACGACTGTGGACCACTTTGTCAATGTTAAATTGCACGTAATCGTAATATTATTTATATTTTCAAAAATGTATTATTATTATTATTATTACGTACTCGGTGCAGTCAGACGTCGCGACTGTTGATGTCATTGGATAACCAACGCGTTGCGTCTTTGCCTTCTCTTCTCTGATTGGTTACCACTGAACCATCTAAAGCTGTTATAGGTTTATTCCGCTGTAGCTCAAAACTCTGCCCCGCCCACCAGGAAATCACAGGTTAGTGTGTGCAATGCGGAATGAAAATGTCCTTCCAAACCAGGAGAAAGTGAGTGTGGGCTGCTTTCACTCTTTCACTCTTTCACTTTTAACATTGCGTTTAAAGCTGCTATGATGTGTCTGAATTAGCTCCGGCTTTATGCATATATATAAATGTATATATGACTGGAAACTGTCTTAAAAGAGCCTGTTGTTTGTGTGTTGAGCTAAGCTAATGTGCTGCTGGGCTCTAAGGACATGGACACATAGAGGGGCAGTTTATTGAATGAGTATACATTCAATAAGAATAACATAATCAGCAGATGATAATGATATGAATTACTTTAAAATAAACCGATTCTGCTCATTCACAATCTGTGGGATTTTGTAGCTGCCAGTGACTTCTGATATTCGTTTATGATGCATGTTAGTTGCAGGAATCAAGAAACTGATTCCTCAAGAACACTTTCCTCTGTAGCAGCTGATGGTTATGATTCATAGTTATGTCTTGAACTGGCTGTCAGATTGTAACATGACAGATGAAGGGGTGTGTGATCTTACAGTTTGACTAGCTGTACAGATATTTCTGCAGATGATTAGCTGAGATCTGATTACTTTTGATAATCACCTTTATAGCACAAACCTCAGATGTTAAATATCTTTAAAAAAGTGTGTATGTAAATAAATTGTATGTGTGTATATATATATATATATATATATTGTTTCTTTTTTCCTTGTAATTCAAATTAAATATAATACTTTAATACATTTAATACAAAAATATTTGTGTAGATATTTATAGAATATATAATTAATAAATAATTATGTTTTAATTTTATAGTAATGGGAGTGATTTTACATTACAATAATGAGAATTTTGAGGGGAAGTGAGCTTAAAATGATTATTTTTTAATACATATAATTCAAAAACACTTATTACTGAAATAGACATTTCATCATCCAAAATATAATTTTTTGCCTTCCTTTTATGTTTGTCTGTGTGTGTGTATGTGTATATATGTCTGTCTGTTTATCTATCTATCTATCTATCTATCTATCTATCTATCTATATATCTATCTATCTATATATATATATATATATATGTGTGTGTGTGACCCTGGAGCACAAAAGCAGTGTTAAGTCGCTGGGGTATATTTGTAGCAATAGCCAAATGTATGGGTCACAATTATAGATTTTTCTTTTATGCCAAAAATCATTAGGATATTACGTAAAGATCATGTTCCATGAAGATATTTTGTAAATTTCCTACCGTAAATATATCAAAACTTAATTTTTGATTAGTAATATGCAATGCTAAGAACTTCATTTGGACAACTATTTCTCAATATTTTGATTTTTTTTTTCACCTTCAGATTCCAGATTTTCAAATAGTTGTGTCTCGGCCAAATATTGTCGTCTTATAACAAACCATACATCAATGGAAAGCTTATTTATTCTTGATGTATAAATCTCAATTTTGAAAAATTGACACTTAAGACTGGTTTTGTGGTCCAGGGTCACATATAAGCTTTGATCAGATCTGATATATATTATGTTGATTATCAAATGTAATCAAACTTTAAAATAAAAAAATTATCAGCTATTTATAGGTCAATTTAAGTTTTTATTGTTGCATGTAAATGCCAGAATATGAGGTGTCTTCTCTAAATTGCCAATATTGACTCATGTTCTGCATATGGTGTTTATATGAGCAAAGCGTCTAATCTAAAGCACTAGAACAATATGAACTGTGTTTTCATTGTCTCCAAGACAACAATAATGAGGAGCTAGGACAGAACTGAACTCCAGCTGTTCCAGGGTCTGTCTGGAGCGACTCGGATGTGAAAGCATCTGCAGGAGGAAGGGGCGGAGCTGAGATGTCAATCAGAAGCGCTGAGGGCGTGTCCATCATGCAGGCCTTAGCCATGACCGTGGCTGAGATACCTGTGTTCCTGTATTCCACCTTTGGACAGGTACACTGTACCTCTCATAACACCTTAGCATCAACAATGCTTTCCTCAATGTTTATCATTTTTATTTGTAGCAATTACACTATGAATATTTTTAATGCTTTTTTATATTTTTATTTTTAGCTTGAATTGATTTTTATTTCAGTTTTAGTAATTTTACTACTTTAACTTAAACTGATCTATTTCAGTAAATTAACAGTCTTCATTTATTATTTATATTTATGTTACTTATGCTTTATTTTAATTACTTAGTTTAGAATAATAACAGGTTTTAACAAGTTTTGACAATTTTGTGATAATTTTTATGAAATTATTCAGGCTACTTTAAGTCAGTGTGTGAGTATTTACTTTTTTTAATGTCTGTAATGTTATATTGTAATATTAAAATATTATAATTGTAAATTATAATTGTAGAAATATGAAGTAATATAAAATACAATATTTTGAGTGAATGTGCAAGTATTTAAATTTTTTCAATGTCCACAATTTTATATTGTATTATAATAAAAACATACAACAAATAACATAAAATTATAATTTCAGTCTTAAATTAATTTTCGTGACCATTTTCATGAAATTAATCAAGTTACTCTGATGAATGTGCAAGTATTTAAGTTTTTAATATCATGATTTTGAATAATCTTAATCTTTTCATTAATCTTTTAACTTAATATTTTCATTTTAATTAAAAAAGGTAATATTTTTTTTAATTATATTTGAAATATTTGTTATTTATATTTGTATTTGTATTTTCAATTATTTTTATTTCTGTGTTAGTTTTAGTAATTTTTGTCCTGCAACTTTTCTTCTCTTTCTATTTTTGGTTTATTTCAATAATTTTTATTTCAAAAACAATTTTTAGTGGTTTTAGTTGAACATGTTTTTACAATAAATATTTATTTTTACTATTATTCTTGCAGCTATTCTATGCAGTTATTCTTATTTCATATGCTTTCCCCTATAAAGTTTTTTAAAGGGGTCCTATTATGCTTTTTCACTTTTTCAACTTTAGTTAGTCTGTAATGTTGCTGTTTGAGCATAAAAAAGATCTGCAAAGTTACAAAGCTCAAAGTCCACTTCAAAAGGAGATATTTTATTGAACAGAAATCACTTTTCAAAAACTACAACGAACGACTCGTTTGGACTACAACACATATTTTCCGGGGATTTGTGATATCACAAATATCGACGAATGGGTTACCAATTCTAACCAAAGCTAACCAATCACGGGACACACTGGCCCAGCTAACCAATCACGGGACACACTGGCCCAGCTAACCAATCACGGCACACACTGGCCCAGCCAACCAATCACGGCACACACTGGCCCAGCCAACCAATCACGGCACGTCAGTGTGCGTGTATTTACATTTTTTTATGTCCATAATGTTATATTGTAAAATCAAATATTATAAATTAAAATTCTAATTTCATAAACATAAAGTAATATAAAATTATAATTGTAGTCAAGGTTTCTTGAAACAATTTTGATGAAATGAATCATGCTACTTTGAGTGAATGTGAGAGTATTTACACTTTTTAATGTCCCTCATTTTTGTATTATAATGCAAAATATGATAATATAAAATTACAATTTTATAAATATGAAATATATAAAATTATAGTTTTAGTTAATGTTTCTTGGAACAAAACGGCCATAAATAAATTTTTGTGAAAAATTTCAAGAAATTAATCAGCTCATTTTGAGCAAATGTGAGAGTATTGTTATTATTTAATTTCCGTAGTTATATTATAATATGAAATATTACAATATTAAATTCATATTTTATAAATATGAAATAAATGTCTATACATGTAATGTCCAATGTTAATTTTATATTCGTGGAATTAGTTAAGCTATTTTGAGAATATGTCTATATACTACATCAAAATCTTTCATAAAAAAAAAAAATTACTCTATACAGTTATTTGTATTTGTTCATTTGTGTGTTTTTAGGGTCGGTTGCAGGGCGTCAGATGATGAGTCCCAGCACCCGCAGTAATGACACTCTCAGCGGCGTCTCGTCTCTCGCACAGAGCAAACACTCGAGCTCTTCACACAGCATCGCCTCTGTGTGTGAATCTCACAGCTACACACACTGTCTGCCTGTTTATTTATCAATGAACTCCTGTTAAAAGGCCTAACCATACATTTTTATCCATTTTGTTTGGGTCCGCCTCAGATGCGAGTTCCCTCCTCTCCCAACCAATCAGTGAACACTGGGACGCCGTGGGAGGCGGAGCCAGTGGCAGAGGAGCCGGGAGTCGGAGAGGATACCAATGTGGAGAACCTCTATCTCATGGGTAATGTAGTTTACTATTGCAATCTGTTGTATCATCCATACTGCATTCTTTTTCACATGCTACACTACCATTCAAAGGTTTGGTGTTGGTAAGATTTTACTTTTTTGAAAGAAATTATTAATACTTTTATTCAGCAAGGATGCATTAAATTGATTATAATTGACAATTATAATCTTTTAAGAGATTTTTATCTCACATAAATGCTGCTCTTTTTAACTTTCGTTTGCAAAAAAAAGTATCATGGTTTGTACAAAAAAATTAGGCAGCACAACTGTTTTCAACATTGCTAATAATCAGATGTTTCTTGAGCAGAATGATTTCTGAAGGATCATGTGACACTGAAGACTGGATTAAAGATGTTGAAAATTCAGCTTTGATCACAGAAATCAATTACATTTTACAATAAATTCAAACAGAAAACTGTTTTTTCTTAAATTGTAATAATATTTAATATTTTTTAAGCAACACACTGTATTTTTGATTAAATAAATGAAGCCTTGGAAAGCATAAGAGACTTATTAAACAAACAAAAAAAAATCTTACTTACCCCGAACCTTTGAACAGTAGCGTATTTTAAAATGTAATTGTAATTTTTAAATATTAAAATATTGAAAGAATAATATATAAACAACAATAAATTCAAATATGAAAATACATTTGAAATATATTACATTTTCCTTTAAAAATTCTATTTAAATTGTCAAATTAAATTGAAATATGTACATTTTAAATTGACCGTATACAGCACAGAATGCAATAAGTAGTCTTTTCTGAATACAGCCTCCATAAGTGCAGAAATGTGTGCAGCTGATGTTGGTCTTCTTTCGTCCACCTGCAGGGATGGAGCTGTTTGAGGAAGCCCTGCGCAAGTGGGAACTGGCTTTAAACATCAGACACAGAGCTCATTCCCGTGCATCTGGGTCAAACAGTCTCGTCCCGCAAGGATCAGAGCTTGTGGAGCGTCATTCGGTAAATATCTCTTACTCATAAGCATCAGAAGAATGGCAGGAGCTGCTAAATGTGACCCTGGAGCACAAAAGCAGTCATAAGTAGCACGTGTACATATTTGTAGCAATAGCCAACAATACATTGTATGGGTCAAAATTATCGATTTTTCTTTTATGCCAAAAATCATTAGGATATTCAGTAAAGATCATGTTCCATGAAGATATTGTGTAAATTTCCTACCGTAAATATATCAAAACGTAATTTTTGATTAGTAATATGCATTGCTAAGAACTTAATTTGGACAACTTTAAAGTTGTTTTTTTTTTGCACCCTCAGATTCCAGATTTTCGAATAGTTGTATCTCGGCCAAATATTGTCCTTATAAAAGCTTATTTATTCAGGTTTCAGATGACGTATAAATCTCAATAAAAAAAAATTGGCCCTAGTGACTGGTTTTGTGGTCCAGGGTCACAAATAAAAACACATTATTTGATTTTTCAGCCTGAGCTTCACAATCATGAGTTTGCAGAGAAGCTCGAGTCTCTGCTGCACCGAGCCTATCACCTACAGGAAGACTTCGGCAGCACCATCCAGCCCGACAGCCTCCTCGCTGACCTGGGTAAGACACGCACAAACACGTGCTGACGTCACCTGTGTGTTTTCAGCTTCCTAAGCCAAGCTGTTTGTGTGCAGAGAGTGAAGCAACCCTGATCCTGCCCACACTAGGGAGTTACCATCCCATCCAAGACGACGATGCCACGACAGTCACTTCTGACGACTCGTTTGTCTCTGCTGCTGAGGTCAGGACACACACACACACACACACACACTTAAGGGTGTCGTGTGTTTTCTCATGCATGTGTATGATGTCACTTCCCTCTGTGTCTCTGTAGTTGTTTGAGACGTTCTCTCTAGAGGACACGTATCACCCGCTGAAGCCAGCAGCTCTGTATGAAGAAGCCCTGAGTTTGGTGAAGGATGGAAGCGTGGGCTGCAGATCACTGAGGTACTGCATGCTACACACTGCATACTGACAGCTTAAACCCTAAACACTGCACACTGACTCTCTAAATAAATGCTACACACTACATACTGTTACCAAAACCACTTTGTAGAATTAAAATATTATTATTAAAGTATTATTATAATATTAGTATATAGTTGCAATGATATAGTAGTTACAGTTGCACTGTAAAATTTACTATTATCAATTTATTATTTTTCTTAAATACTTGTTTTTTATTGTACAGTGAAATATTACAATAGCAGTTTTTCATATTTTGTTTAACATTTTAATTTAGCAGTAATAATTTTATTTTATATCATTATTATAGTTTATTTCTAGTTTATTATTATTGATATATAATCACACTATTTTTTTTTACGATATTTGAAATTGAAATAATAAGAATCATTCAGTTTATTCATTTTTATTTTGTAGTATAAAATATATGTTATTTATTATTTTTGAAGGAATATCACACAATCCCACACAATTTTTATCCAAGTTTTAATGTAAACCTCTGTTGTCCATCACTTTCTTTGCCAAAAAATTAAGGAAATTGTAAAAATTTCTGTTGATTGACACCATTAATAATAAAACATAATCCAGAAAAATTGATCACAGAATTTCTGAAAAACAAACAAACACATTTGATAGGGCCCTATTACTGTGTAAATAAATTAAAGAAAAAACGTTTATTGGTTTGATATAATTTTTAATGATTAAAATGTAATTAAAATATTAAATATGGAATCAGGAAAATTAAGACAGAAAAATAAAACAGATTTAATAGGGCCCATATTATTAAAATAATAAAGTAAAGTTTTTATAGGACCTTAAATATCCTAAACCCTATACATTACAAACTAATTTCCTAAACCTTACACTCCACTCCATTAGCACTGATTCTAAAATGAGACGGGACCCAGTGCACTACTGCACATACAGTACAGATGTTCTCCTCACACATTCTCCTCTGGGACTGGAGGATTTCCGTTATAGCTCCAGGAGCAATGACTGATGGGAAAACACACTCTGTGTCATTTTTGTGACTCTGTTACAGAACTGAACTTCTGGAGTGCTACAGCGATCAGGACTTCCTCGCCAAACTGCACTGCGTTCGTCAGGCTTTCCAGGTCAGCACACTCTCACACACCATTACACACACATACACACACACACACACACACACAAACACCATTACACACACACACACCCTCTCACACACCATTACACACACACACACACACACACACACACACATACGGAACAGGGCTGTTGGTGAGATCTGTGTGTGTGTTTGTTGTTTCTGTAGGTGCTGCTGCTGGATGAAACACACAGGATGTTCTTCATGGATACAGGGAAGCAGATGATATTGGGACTCCTGGCCAAAGCCAACAAGGTGCATCAAAAATTTATGGAATAATTAAAATATTTTTATGTTTTTGAAAGAAGTCTCCTCTGCTCACCAAGGCAACATTTATTGATCACAAATTACAGTACAAACAGTCATATTGTGAAATATTATTACTGTTTTCTATGTGAATATTTTGTAAAATGTAATTTATTCCTGTGATTAAAGCTGAATTTTCAGCAGTCTTCAGTGTCACATGATCTTCAGAAATCATTCTAATATGCTGATTTGCTGCTCAAGAAACATTTCTGATTATTATCAATGTTGAAAACAATTGTGCTGCTAAATATTTTGTGGAAATTCAACTTTGCTTTCAAAGGAATAAATTAAATTTTAAAATATATTCAAAAAGAAAACTTAATTTGAATTGTAACAGTCTTTCACAATATTAATGTTTTTGCTGTTGTTTTCTCCAAATATATGCAGCCTTGGGGAGCAGAAGAAACTATTAAGTATTAAAAATCGTAATTATTTCAAACGTTTGACTGTCATTTCTGTAACGTTTTTTCATAATACAACATGCATTGACAAATTGTGCACAATATGACTTGAAACAGTCATTTATAAAGTCATTTTATTTGGATTTAATATCTACTTTTGCATGTGTGTGTGAATGTTTAGAGTCCGAAGGCGTTTCTGGAGAGTTATGAAGACATGCTGCAGTACACGCAGAGAGAAGAGACGTGGCCCGTCACCAAGATGGAGCTGGAAGGACGAGGGGTTTGTCCTGTTTATCTGTCTGTCATTCCTTCCTTTGCCATCCTTTTCCATATTCTGTGTGTTAAAGTCTGATTGCAAGCTGGCCTTCTTGACTGTTCCCCTGTTGTTATTGTTAACTAAAACATACATAGTTTAAATAAAATAAAATATAAATATTAGATGAAAAATGTCAACTTCGAAATAAAATAAGTTGAAGTTGAAGTACAAAACTTTCTGCAATTCTGCTAATTTAAAATATTAATAAATACTATAATAATATATAAATAACACTGATTCTTCTGGACTTCCTGGCTCTCAATTTGGCCTTCTAGAGGTTTGACCTTTGACTTTGCTCTAGGTGGTCTGTATGAACTTCTTTGACATTGTGCTGGACTTTATCCTCATGGATGCGTTTGAAGATCTGGAAAGTCCGCCGTCTTCAGTGGTCGCGGTCCTGAGGAACCGATGGCTCTCGGACAGTTTCAAAGAGACGGTACGCAAATGAACCAAAAAGGAGAATAAAATAATTTCTTAAGCGCCGCAAGAGTTTTTATTCTCAATTTCTTTAGGAAAATGTGCTTTCAAAAAAACATTGATCTGAGGAACCCTAAAAAATATTTTTTTGGGGGGGTGGGCACTTTAATTTTTCTTAGTGTTTGATGTCTGTCTTCATCGGTCTCTGTATTTCTTCATTTCTGTTTCTGTGTCTCTCTGTTTGTATAAGGCATTGGCTACAGCCTGTTGGTCTGTGCTAAAAGCCAAAAGGAGATTGTTAATGGTGAGTGCGAAAAACAAAACTTGACATTATATCTGTAAAAATCATGTCTAGAATCAGATCACAGATCTTGTTTTGTGTTTGTTGCTCAGGTTCCCGACGGTTTTATTGCCCATTTCTATGCCATCTCTGAACATGTGAGTCCAGTTTTGGCTTTCGGGTTTCTGGGCCCCCGGCAGCACCTCAGTGAGGTGTGCACCATATTCAAGGTAAGACGTTCCCAGTGTTCTCCACACTCCTCCGTCAAACCTGAGCTAACCCTCCCGGTGATCCAGAAACGCCTGTAATCCAGATCAGCACATAATCTGATGCTAATCTGCTCTCTGTAACACACTGATGCCTGCGATCAGATCGTGAACCCTGTCAGAGAATAGATACAGGGTTTCTGCAGATCTTAAAGGGGTCATATGATGAGATTTCAAGTTTTCCTTTCTCTTACAAGCTCTTGGTGCATAAAGAAGATCTGTAAAGTTGCAAAGACTAAAGTCTCAAATCCAAAGAGATATTCTTTATAGAAGTTAAGACTCTTCCACGCCCTCCTAAAACACCTCGTTTAAACACGCCCCCACATATCTACGTCACGATGTGGGAAGATTTGCATAACGCCGCCCAAATGTTCACGCAAAGAAAGAAGGCGTAACTTTTATTCTTGCTGTAGTATTGTTTCTGCCGCCGCCATGTCGTGAAGACGCTGTGTGTTTAGTTGTGAAAGCGAAACTACTTTGTTTGGCCTTCCAAAAGAGGACACGACTAGAAATCAGTGGTTAAGTTGTATTTAAAACACTGTTCCAGAACAGTTCAACTGAAATATTCAGATGTGTGCAGCACATTTTATGGAGGACTGTTTCCTGATCCTGGGAGAGTAGACTACAATGCCGGCTGTTCTGACTCACAGCCTGTAAAAACGTTTTTATATTTATAGGATTTGCCACTGACGATTCAAACGTGAGTTTTGAGCAGTGTAGAGTAGCGCTTGTTGTTTGTCATTTCTCCGATCACAAATGCAGACAGGGTTTTATGTTTACGCGGTGTGATGCAACGCAGCATGTAAAAAGACAGTATAAGTCTTTATAATCAGTAATTATGTCCCCACTGGATGCAACAAATGCCTCGTTTATAATGGGTTTTATTGGTTTTGTCTCGTCGCTGCGGCCGGAACAGGGCATCAAAGTATGGTAATTGCGTAACATTTCCGTCACACGCTTGAGGTATTCAGCCAATCACAACACACCTCGGTTTTCAGACCGATGAGCTTTGTAAAAATCGATGCATTTCAGAAAGGCGGGGCATAGAGGAGAAACAATAATGTACAGTATGTGGAAAATAATGTTTTTTTTTTTTTTTTACCTTAAACTGCATAAACACATTTCATTACACCAAATACACAAAATAATGTTCTTTTTTTAGCAACGTCATATGACCCCTTTAAAAAGGTCTTAAAATTCACACAACCATAAGTTAAGGTCTAAAAAGGTGTTCATTTGGAGCAGAAAATCTTACATTTATAAAGTCATGGAATCAGAAAAAATTTAAAATGAATAAATAAAATGTTGCTTAATCCCTCCTTGTCTAACTTGTACTAATCTGAATGACGTCTGAAACTTTGTATTACAAGCACTTCCTGTGTTTATTCGTCTCTTTATGATGAATCACTTGTTGTATTCCTCAGTTGCAAGTCGCTTTGGATAAAAGCATCTGCTAAATGAATAAATGTAAATTAAATGTTGAATTCACTGCAGAAAAATTGTTTTCCTCAGTATTTTTGTTTTGTTTTCCAATACAAATATCTAGACATCCTTAATTCAAGATACAAAGTGAAGATATGAGCAGATCTTTGTTCTAGTTTTAATCATAAACTCAATTCATTTTGATGACTTTCTCATAAATGTATTATTTGAAGTCATTTTGCTTCTCAAATAAAGAATCTTTAGACATTTGCACTGGAAAACAAGTCAAAAATACAGATTTAGCTTTTTTGTCAAATTAATTCAAAAGTAATGGAGATTTGTTGTAAGCTGTATTTACGTTGTACATTTAGAAACCATCCTGGCATATTTTGTTCCATTAAATCTATTGCTTAAATTTGCTTTACTTTGTCTTAAAAAGTCTTTGACATAAAAAGTCAAAAAAAAAAAATGCAAGTGTCATATATTGGTTTGGTTTGAAATGCTAAAACAATCAGAAATGTTCAAAAGGTTGACATTTTTCAGTGTTTTCGAAAGAAGTCTCACCAAGACTGCATTTATTTGATCAAAAATACAATAAAAACTGTAAAATTAGGAAATAATATTACAATTTAAAATAAGTGTTTTCTATTTGAATATATTGTAAGATGTAATTTATTTCTGTGATCAAAGTTGAATTTTCAGCATCATTACTCCAGTCTTCAGTGTCACATGATCTTCAGACATCATTCTAATATGCTGATTTACTGCTCAAGAAACATTTCTGATTATTATCAATGTTGAAAACAGTTGTGCTGCTTCATATTTTTGTAGGTACTGTGATACATTTTATTTTTCATAATTTGAACGTTTAAAAGAGCTGCATTTATTTGAAATAGAAATCTTTTGTAACATTATAAAGGTCTTTACTGTCACTTTTGAGCAATTTAATGCATCCTTGCCTGACTTCATACATCCACTAAAATCACCAGTTGATTCAAACACACTGAGACTCACAAGATGTCAAATCAAGTGATATCCAAGTAAAGGTTTATCATTTATTATCATAATCAAAACAACCCAGAATTAATATCACGTTCTCCTTTGATCTCCGCAGCAACAGATTGT